GGGCGTACGTACGTAGAGTGGAACTCGGGGTCCAGTGAATGGACCTCGACGCCACGCATCAAGTACGGCAGGGCCTTTTCGTAGTTCTTTACGCTTAGCCATATCTTGCCTGCACACCACAGCTGTGCGTGAGCAAAACACTGTGGCGTTTGTGGACCACACGGACGCAAGCAAGCAAACAAACAACATAGGGAATGAAGTGGACGCACCCAATTGCAAGAGGCACATCTTCTGGTTTGGAATAAGAGCCAGCACTTGCTCGAATATGGAAACCGCGTGCTGTAGCCAACAACCGCACACAGAGACGCACACGACACACAACAGAGTAAGATCATAAAAGAAGCGAACAAGAAGACCAGAAGCCGAGTGGGCGGTACTCTATAGTTGCCCTTCTGGCGCGATTGCTCGGCGATGGCTAGCGAATGTTCGATGTACTGCCGCACGGCGGGATTGGCGGCCGTGCTCGAGTCGAGCGGGTCCGGCAGGCCAGGCGCCACCACGTCGTCGCTGCCCCTGTGTACGGAGTCAACGCGCGTGGAAGTGACGGTCAGCGCCTCGCGATGGAACGTACCCGTGAGTAGCATTCAACGCCGAGAGCCGCAAGGCGGACATGAGCGCGGTCGGATCGGACGACGCGGCGGACGGCGTTGATGAAGAGGAAGACGACGAAGAGGACGAAGTAGAAGTAGACGTGGACGTAGGCGTAGTAGCGGGAGTAGTAGTAGAGGCGGCAGTCGAGGCTGATGGCGCAGGAGCGACAGACTTCGACGGGGTTGCGGAAGTGGCTGGTGGCGAGGCCAGCGCGATGACGTAGAGGTCGGCTCGGTCGTCAACAGACTTGACCACTCGTGCGTCTTGCTTGTACTGCCGCTTCCTGTGGTACCGCAGGTGGGCAGAGCAAGATAACATGATTAAAAAGAACATAAAAGAAATAAAATCAAAATTATGTCGTACTTTTCGTTCATCACGGCGAGTGAGGGAGGTAGTGAGTGCCCTGCCGGTGCGTGCCGCTTGTTGTACGCCACCACGAATTTCTGCACAATACATCAATCAGATGATATAAATCAGATCTGATTGATATCAATGTTGTTAAATGATCGAGCGAACCGCACGTCTAAAAGGTCGCTAAAGGTGTCCGGTGCATCGTTGGCCAGCGTCAGGATGAGCGTGTACTCTGGCAGCCCGCTGCCCTCGAAGTGGAGGTACACCTTCATCTCCCGCTGTGCGAACAAGGAAAAACAGTTTTCTTTTTACTTTCTTTCACACCACGCAACTACGCTAGCTTCTTGGTCGGGCGAGAAGGCGGTGGTGCGGCGGGTGCGGTGAGATGGAGCCGCAGCTGCGGATGTCCGCAATAGCTTCGCTTCTTCTTGGAACGGTCCAGGAACTGCTGCGCGCTCTGGGTCAGGCTCTCCCGCGGCGCCACGATGAACGTGCAGCTTCCGTGCCCCGCTATGCATCAAGCGTAGGTTCACGTGAGTACGTGCGTGTGTGTCGTGTGTGTCGTGTGTGCCGTGTGTCGTGTGTGTCGTATACCAAGCGCAGAGCATCCAACTTCGAGCGCGCTGAGCTGGGTGACCGGGGCTTTGTCGCCCTGGCTTGCGCTCAGACACTCGTTGATGAATCCCGTGATGTAGCCCGCGCTCATGACGCACACCGGCGATCGCTTGCTGGTGGCTCTCGTTGACGTCGCCTCGTCAGCCCGCGACTCTCGCCTCTCGTGCGCGGCGCCTTTCTCCACTTCGCTCGACTCCGCCTCCGTCTGGCGTGTCTCCGACTCCTCGCGCGCCTTCCACGCTTCGGCCTCCGCGCTGCCCAGGCGTAGGTTTTAGTTGAGTGTTACGCCCACAGCACACACGCGACCGCACACACGACCGCACACGCCGAGTAGGTAAAGTACCTGCGGTGGACCACGAGTTTGAGGAAGAAGTTGGACAACTGGTCGGGAGCGGTGCTGATGTGTGCGTGCTTGGCCTGGATGCGCATCGTGCCCCAGCCCATGTGCGCCATCAGCGGCGGCAGCGTCAGCAGGCTCTCGAAGAACGACGGCGACGGCGATGACAACGCCGGGTCCGCGGCGTAGTGGCGCTGGTCGGTCTTGCCCAGGCAACAGCCAAAGTCGAACAGGAAGTTGGCCGCGATGACGTCGGCCTGCGGCTTCTTGACCGGGAGGACCTCGGACAGCAGCTGGAAGAAGCCGTGCGACACGGCCTCGGCCCGGAGAAACACGTGCCGGCGGCCGCCGATCGACACCGCCCCCTGGCCGGCGTTGAGCTCCTGCCGCCCGAACGCGTGTTCGGCCAGCAGCTCCCGGATGCGCTTGCCCTCGCTGGCCAGCACCTCTCTGTCCAATCCGGCCGACGTCGCCTCAATGCCCGCACCACGCTGTGCGGACTTCTGCTGGTCTGCGGCGGTGTCGCTGCCCCGGCGCGGCCTGGCCTCCGCCATTTTGGTTTCAGTGGCAGACGGCGTCGGGGAGATGATCACGCTCGATGACGACGCCGAGAGCGAGTTGCGACGCGGGCTCGGTCGCGCTGAACCCGCCGCGCCACCGCGCTCCGCTGCCACGATCGTGCTGCCCTTGGTCGTCGCGCTCCCAAATGCCGCCGAGGCCGAGGCCGGGCTGGCCGCAGGCAGCACCGGCGCCGGCGTCGAGTTGGAGCGGGGCGAGGCCATGGGCTGCTGGGTCCCAGTGGACGACGATGCCGGCACCGAGAGCGTGGTCGGCGTGCGGCTGCGCCACCGATTGATCAGGCCGCGGACCCCGTTGGGCTTCTCTGATTCTGCGCCATTGGTTCCGTCGGCCCCTGCGTTGCTGGTGCCCGATTGGCGGGAGGTCGATGGCCGATCGGAGGAGGAGTCGTCGGCTGTTGACACCTGGCTGAGGGCTTTCATGGAGTCGAGGAAGCGGTGCAGTATCACCCGGCGCCGTCGGTCGGCCGAGTAGTTGTGTTCGGCGCAGAAGCGGTCCAGGTGCACTGCCATTTTGCTCGGGTGGGCCACAATCACGCGGCACACATCATCCCCTGCGCGCCACACTCATCGATTAGTCGTGCGTCGTGCGTCGTGTGTCGGTCGTTGGTCGTGTCGTGTGTCGTGTGTCGTGTGTCGTGTGCGGCGCACCTCTGGCACGGCACATGACCTCGGCGGCGACGAGTTCCGAGTGTCCCAGCGCTTCGCACAGCCAGCCGCTGCTGTAGCCCGAGTTCATGACACAAACCGAGTGGTACGTGCTGCTCTGCTGTTGGTCCTCGTCCGCCGCAGCAAAGTGCGCGTGCGAGTGCGTTTCGAACGAGTTGAGGTGGTCCAGCTGCAGCGCCACGGTGCTCTCATCGCGCAGCAGCTGGTGGTCGTCGACGTTATTGAGCGCCACCACGGCCCAGCCCGCGTGGGCCATGTGCGCGGGCGCCGCGGCGAGCGCCTCGAGCCCCGGTGCTAGGTTCATCTTCTTGGCGAACACCCGCGCGTCGGACCTGCCCACGGCGTGGGAGAAGTCAAACAGTATGCAGTGCGCCATCTGTTCCCTCTGCTCCTTGCTGAGCGTCACCCCTGGTTGTGTCGTCGACGTGTCATCAGTCTTGAGTCGCGTGTGCGGTGGTGCGCACCGCCTTTGGGTGTCGTGCGTACCGCTGGCAGTGAATGTTTCGGAGACGGCGTAACAGAATTCGACTGAAAGCGCGGAGGCCCGCAGTAGAAGGTATCGCTCGTCGAAGATACTGACCGTGCCGTTCTTGGCGGACTGTGAGCACTCGGCGTAGTGCTGGCCAACAGTTCTCTCGGCGGTGCGGTAGAAGGGCTGGGCCGCCGCGAAGGGCTGGGGTAGTTGGGGCGGCAGCACGGAGGCGGAGTGCGGTGAGCGCGGCGAGGCGCTGGGCGTGGTCGAGCCCTTGGGGCTCTTCCGGCCCGAGACCTGGTCAGTCGCCGCCGCCATCGCCGCAGTGAAGTTGAATTTACGCAGCGACGCCCCGAGCATCTTGCGCCCCGACGCGCTCTCCTCGTCCTTGTTGATGAAGTTGTTGACCGTCTTTGCCTTCTCCTTCTCCGCCTTTTCTTTCTTCTTCTTCGACTTCTTCCTATCTCCGTTGAGCGAGGCGTCATCGCGGCTGACGCCGCCGGGGTGGTGGCTGTGCAGCCGGTTGACTTCGGAGGGCCGTCGCACGATCGTATCGTCGCGCAGGTTGTTGAGATCGTCGAACGACTGGAACAGGCGTGTCTGCGAGTTGGCCAGCGTGCGCGGCTGCAGAGTTGACGTCGAGCCGCTGCTGCCATCGCCCTCCTTCACCAAGTTGCGCCCGCGGCCGGTCTCCTGGTCGCTCCTGGGCGTGAGCTTGCCATCCGCGTCGCCGCCGTTGTTGTTGGCCTCCTTCTTAGATCGCACCTCCCGGCTGTGTCGCTTCCGCGAACTCTCCTCGCCACCAATGAAGGACCCGCCGCCCTCGCCGTCGGTAGCATCATCCTTGGGCGCGGTCGTGGTCGTGGCCGCTCTGGGCCGGCCCACCTGCGACCCCGAGTGCGACAGCGTGTCCGCTGTATCGACATCGGACGCACTGCGATGTGTCGACAGGGCATTAGCGGTGTGGAAGTGAATGGTGAGTGGTGGGAGCTGTACCTGCGATTGTTACGGCGTGCCCTTAGAGTCCCGTGGCCCATTTCCGAGCCGCTTCCCTTGCGCGATTTGACCTGGCTCGACTCGGTGCTGGTTTCCTGCGAGGTGGTGTCTTCGCTCGCCGGCTCCACCCACAGGCTGGGCTGCGATTGCAGCGACAGGGCGTACAACTCATCCTGCACACACGACACACGACACATGACACACGACGCGTGGGGAGATAAATCGAAAGAAGAAAGTTGAAAAAAATCTGAAGCGGTGGCACCTACCTCGTCATACATGATATCCATGGCGAGTGACGAGATGTACTGCTTGGCGTCCGGCTGCCCGGTTGAATCCAGTGTGTAGGACACGCTCTGGAAGCTTTTCACCTCGCTCACACGCTCATAGAGCAAATTTACATACTTGTCGTTGATTGCGCCTGCGCCCAAGGACCAGTCAGCTCTGTGTTGCGTGCGTTTCGGTGGAGAGAAAAATACCGTCTGGCAGGTACTTCTGGTTGCCGTCATTGATGAAGGTGAAGTCGCGCAGATAGATGCCAAAGTAGGGCAACACGGGCGTCTTCCGCTTCTTGAGTTCGCGCCGGTAGTGCCTGAAGTTGTGCTGCGGGCTCATCAGCGTGTCGATCTCGCGCCACTGCTCCTTCGCCTTGTCCGACACCCGAGCCCACAGGCCCTTCAGCCGCTGCAGCGAGTTGTGATTGAGCCCTGTGTGAAACGAGTACGTTTCAGCATCAATGTTAAAGTGGTTAGGCGTGTTGTGTGTGTGTGTGGTGCGTGAGGTGGCGCATTTTTATGCATGTGCAGGGTGATACCCGAGACGATCTCCATGAATGTGTTAAAGTTATTGAGAAGCAGGCACTGATTCGCCAGGCGAATGAACTTCTCTAGCACCTGCACCTGCAACTCGGCCTTTCTGGCCATCAGGATCTCCCGGGCCACCCAGTGTGCCACCTGAAAATTGGATAAAATTGGGGTTTCGGTGAGTCTCGAGCTTACGTCTATGGGCGTATACCAGGGGCTAATAGTACGCACCATGTTGTACTGTGCAATGAGCGGCTCGAACAGTGAGTCGCCGTCCTGGTTCTTTACGGTGAGTAAACTGCGGAGGTCCACGTCCCTGAACAACTGAAACTCGACCACCGTGAACTCTCTGTGTTGTTACCACACGTGGTTAGTGGCAACGACACGACCAACGACACGTGAGGCAAAAACAAAGTCAGACAGGAACGAACCTGGCGAGCGCGGGCTCGGGAATGTCCAAGAATTCAACGGGCTTCGATGCGGCGTCGTGCTTGGCGATGGTCTCCCGGAGCGTGTGGCTCATATCATATCGCTGGCTGTTGTGTCGCAGAAAAAGCAGCTTTATCTCGTTCGCCAGGCAATTGCCTCGAAGCCACTGCAGGATGCTCGTCCGCTGGCGTGCCGTGAAATCGCCTGCGCGTTTGTGCGGTTGCAGTTTGGTGAGCTGGGGCGCACGTTCTGAATTCAGGGAACTAGGGACGCACTGCCGTGTGCGCGACACCACGCCGCAATAAAGTTGTTAAGCCGGGCGAGTTCCTCCCCGCCCGTACTATCGCTCTTGGCGGTGAGTTCTGTATATCTGAAAAGCACACAAAATAGAAGAACGTTGCGCTGCAACCTTAGATTGGGGGAAAAAAGCAGAAAAAAGAACTTGAGCGGTTGTTGTACCGCTGTGCGCAGAGGTCGAAGAGGGCGGCAGCCGGCGCGCCGGCCGTGTTGAAGCTGGTGAAGAGCGGGAAGGTGAGTAACCACGCTTCGATTTCGGCCTGCGTGCCCTCATTGAGCACTCGCCGGTAGTATTGTACGAAGGCCGCCTGTTTGGCTGCCTTGTCACCGCATATTCCGCTTCCGTCGCCGCCGGTAGCCACTCCCGGTTCGAGCGCGTACGCGCTCTCCATTCTTACAATCTACTTCTCAAAATGAAAACACACAAGCCGCCTCTGGCTTTGTGGTGTTCTGTTTCTACAGCGAGTTCCACGTTTACCTCTCTTCTCCTGGCTGCCTCTATTATGGAGGCCTCATGCAATGCGCCTGGCAACGGCTCCCCGACAGGCTGGATCCAGACTGGCTCTGCTACTTTGCAGCAGTCCCACCACCCTTAGTCGACATTAATGCTCTTTTGAAGGGGGGAGTGCAAGTGTGTTTTCAGAGCGAAGGTGCCTTCGCTGTACCGAATTAGGGCGGAACTCGATCGAGTTGCTGCAAGGTAACAACTGGCGGCATACTCGAGGCAGCTACCCAAGACGCAGCCATTTGTATCCCACAGCGGAGAGGAAAAGAAAGGCTTAACAGAGAAAAGAGAAGGAAAAGTGATTTTATTTGGTATTTTCGCAACATTAGGATATCTTGCGGCTGCGATGGCTCGTGCGAAGCCGGCGAAGCGCTGCTCCAGGACTCCTTCGCTTCTGGTTTTGCCCATCATCTTCCTCCTCATCGGCCTCCAGGATATTCATGGAGGAGCCGGTGCCGAGGAGTTGAGTCTGGGCTCAGAATTCTATCGTCAGTTCGTGGATCTTGATGCTGATCAAAGCATGGTTGCCGCTCGAGCCGTCAACAGTTCTGTCAACGGCGCCTGCCTTCGGGATAACCTGGCCCCCTCGGTTGACCTCACCATTGGCGGCGCCTCCTCGGGGCCGCGAACGCTCAACCAGTACGACTGCCTGGTCTACGGCTTCACAGTCCAACTTGACGACCTGGGCGAAGACGACATCGTCTTCACCATCACCTCCCCGTCCTCGCCCACGCCGCGCTACACCACCTGGCGATTTTACCGCGAGGAGATCACCCTCGCACGCAACGACAACACCTTTGATCTCACCAGTACCATCTCATCTGCCCTCAATATAGTGATGTTGATCTCTAACAAAAACACGGCAGGTGAGGGCTTGAGCTTTTTGATGCCCAACTGCATGGCCAAGCTCACCAGGAGGTGGATCTTCACGCTTACCTCGACCGAGACCTACACCGTGAACCTGGCCACTGCCTACGGTACGTGCACAAGGCTGCAAACGGCTTTGGTTTTGGGCTTAAAAGGAGGCATTGCGCAGCGGCACCTGCGGATGAGATCGAGCTGGACGGGATCTCAGACTTTGTGGGCACGTGGACGACCACCAATGCCTGGCAGGTCTTCAAGTTCAACAGCGACAGCGTGCTGGCCACCCAGAGGTTCGCCGTTACTGCATTGCTCCGTTGAAATCCTGCCCTGACCCCTCTTCCTGCCATTGCAGCGCGACTCTGAACTTTGCATCGAGTACGTCGGAGATGACCATCTACACCCGGATAGGCGCATGCCCCACCATGCACTACACCTACCGATACTCGGGTACGCCGCCGACAGTCACCTTGTCCGCCACAACAGCGTATAACTGATGTGAGCGTTTGATTTTGACCCACAGTCGTCAAGCCAGACACTACTGAAGGACAGTACGTCCACCAAGCGCCAGTCTCTGTTCGGATTATCATCACCTGAGACTTCCATGTGTTGTTGGTCGCGCACAGGAAGAGGTTGGCGGTGAGCAACACGGACAGCGTGGTGTACATGGCTGTGGCGCCTCTGGCCGAAGGGTACTCGGGCACCGGCGACATCACCCTCGGCTACACTCTGGGTACTTCATCTCCTCCTCTTCCCTGGAATGGCGCTGTAACACTGATTCCTGACCTCAACTGTGCAGAGCCATCGGTCTGCCGGGAGTTGCCAACATCGCTGCCCTTCTGCTCTCAGGTGTACTGGCCCACGGTGGGCAACGACAGCCAGGCCCACGTGCGCACGCGAGACGACAGTGCCAAGACGTACATATCTATGTCACTTGCATTGATGCAGTTGCTGTATTTCTGAGGACATCAAAATGCTGTGGCTGCGGCTCAGGTTCTACGATGACACCGTGTTGGCCTACCCGAAGGTCAATTCCGACTGCCTGAGGGTCTTCAAGGACTTCATCTGCCTCACCACGGTCGCTCCGCCTTGTCGTGTGGTACTGTACCCCGCCGTACCTCCTGCACAACTTGAGCTCTTCCGCTAACCAGTGATCATGGGTGATTGTTGATTGCCAACAGGAGAGCAAGAAGGGGATTCCGTTATGTCAGGACTGGTGCGACATGGTCTACAGCTCGTGCCCCGCCCGATTCGTGAGCCAGGTGCTCCAGGCCGAGCTGCGGGATTGGTGCCTGAGGCCCGGCGCCGAGATCCGAAACACCGAGGCCCAAAGCAAGATCAAGCCACCCATCAACTGCTTCCACACGCCCATCCCAGACCCCATCGACATCTGGGGTACGCCAACGTTGCCTTGCAACGCCCAGTGAAGTGATTGGTGACTTTGTGCGGCGGAATGTGTGCAGATTTTACGGAGAGGCCTATGCGCAACCCGTTGATGTGGACGCTGGCCGGGTTCGGCGCCTACATGGCGGCGGCGCTGTGTCTGGCGCTGGCCGCCGTGGCCGTCTTCCTCCACATGGAGCGCAAGCGACGGAAGCAGAAGCGCCTCACGACCGCCCTTCAGCAGCTTGGCCTCGCGCTCGACTGATTCTCCTTCGCCACCTCCCGTCCAGCACCCCCCTCGATGCAGTATCAACATGTTCATACCATTCATACCACAACTTAACATTATCAAACATACTGAAGAAATTTTTTTGATTAGACAGTGTAGAAGGGGTTGGTATATACATGAAGAGAGGCCTAGGCCATGTCGACGACGTAGTTGGCCGGGAAGAGACCTCGTCGCTTTGTTGCAACGAGCTCGCCTTCCCACCAACCCGAATCCGACCTGTGCGTTCGCGTGTGCGATGTGTGTGCGTGCAGAGTGTGCGGTGCGTGTCAGCGAGGCCACGATGGAGAACAGTCGCAGAGAGACGTTATACCTCTGATGAACGATGATGACCTCATCGAAGACTAGGTCCAGTTCGTCGTCACGCTGCGCCTGGTACTCGAAGGCCACTCGTGCGCGACCTCCGCCACCGGCGGCCGGTGACGAAGCCGCGCCCACGGGCTTTGCGTCGGGTTGGCCGCGCGGCGTGAATAGCGGGTCGCCCGCCGCGTCAGCCACCTCCACATACACGCCCTGCACCAGGCCCACCTGCCCCTGCCGCTTGGCTGCCCCCGCCCCGCACCACGCGATGAGAACTTCGCACACGCGTGCGTGTGCGTGTCGTGTCGTGTCGTCTCACTTACCGAGGTACCACGGCTTCTCGTCGCAGTTCTCGTTCATCTCGACGGTGAGAGTGTCCCCCACGCTGCTCTCCAGCTCGTACTTGAACTTGGGTGCGTACCCATGTACGATTCTCGCCTGCGCGCGCGGTGGTGACGTGTCGTGTCAGCACCGATCTACGGTGCGTGGTGGCGGGTGGCTGGAAAAGACCTTCTTTTCGGTGCCCCGCGGGCACTGGGCGACGATGCGGGCCTTGAGCTGGGTGCTCTCCTGCTCGGCCTGCGCGAGCAGCGCCCGGTACCGCTCGACCTCGGCCTTCTTCACCGCCAGCTGGTGGTACAGCTCGCACCGGACCAACAGCGGCTCGGGCGGCGGCGGTCCCCCCGAGCTCTTGAACAGCGCGAGCTGTGTGCGACGTGTGCGTGCGGTGGCGTGAGTGCGTGTGCGGTCTGAGAACTATGTGAGGAATTTTTCGCACCTTGCCTAGACCGCTGCCTTGTTGGATGAGCTTCTTCTCCCGCGGCGAAGGCGGAGGCGCCCCTCGGGCCGGTGGTGAGGGCAGCGGGGTGCTGCCGACGATCGGCAGGTCCAAGATGGGCGGCGGAATGGCCGCCATCGCCAGCGTCGCCATCAGCGGCAGCGGCGACGTCGGTCCAGATGCAGCCGCGGCCGAGGCCGGTGGTGGCAAGGGCAGCGGCGGCAGCGCCGATGGCGCCGACGACGGCGACGGCGACGACTTGGAGAGCGCGCAGTCCCTGACGGGGCGCCTGGGCCTGCTATTGTTGTGGCTGTTGCTGCCAGTGGTCGTGGTGGTGCTTGCGGTGCTTGCGGTGACGGCCGTGACGTTGCTGGTTTGCTGTCGCAGGTTGGCGCAGGCCGATGGGGCCACCATCGCACTGTTGGACGAGGCCGACAGCTGGTGGCTGCGCCCCGCCGCGGGGCTGGTGGTTGTGGTGGCGCTGCGGGCCTCGGCCGCCATGGCGAGCACCGAGGGCGACCCGGGCGCCGAGTGCGTGGAGGGCGACGACAGGGGGCTGGACTTGAGCGAGGGCGCCGCGGCACCGGAGGCGGGCGCGGAGCGGGCAAGGGGCGACCCCCCGGCGGGGAGCGTGTGCGCGGTGGTGGTGGCAGTGGGCAAGTCGGGCAACGGGCCGCGGGTGCGGAGCGCGGACTGGAGCTGGGTCGACAGGCCACGCGTGAAGTTAAGATGCGCATCCGTCGGCATCGGCCCATCTACACAGACGCGCGTCACTTCAGTTAACAACCACCACCACCGCACAGCATCACCGCACACGACACGACACGCACTCAGTTTGTCCTTGATTCCTGCGCGCTCGATTCGGTCGCGTTCCTTGCCGCTGAAGGATTTCGCCTGCACCGAGGCCAGCATCTTGCTACTGTCGAGCAGCGACGACCGCCGGCTGATGATCCCGCCGCCGCCGCCGCCAGCAGCCGCAGCGGCGGCCGACTTCTTGTCCTCCCGGTCCTTCTCCTTGCGCTCGCGGCCCTCCTTGCTCTTCTTCTCCTTTTCCTCGCGGCCCTTCTTCTCCTTCTCCTTCCGCTCCTCGCGGTCCTTCTCCTTCTTCTCCTTCCGCTCGTCCCGGAGGCCCTTCCTCTCCCGGCCCGACGGCTCGTCGCCCGCCGGGCACTCCTTCGGGGCCAGCAGGTTCGCAATCGCCGCAAAGCCCGACGCCTTGGAGGGGAAAAAAACAATATATAGAAAAAATGTTAACCACCATCGCACACGCACACCGCACCGCACACACCGCACACAGGAGAGGGGAGGAAGGAACCTTGGCGATGGCAAGGGGCGAGTAGCGCGGGTCGGAGCACCGGGTGCTGTCCGCGTTGAACTCGTCGACCAGGATCCGCACGATCTCCATGTGTCCCTTCTTCGCCGCAAAGTAGAGCAGCCTGTGCGGTCATCATGGGACCGCACGCGTGTTCACATGAATCGTGCGTCGTGTGTTGTAAGTGTCGTGTGTGTTGCGTCGTGTCGTGCGTGTGTCGTGTTCATGAATGGCAGACGCACGTTCGACCCTTGGCGTCAAAGGTGTTGACGGCAGTCGGCTGCGCTGTCAAAAGCTGCCGGAGCTTGGCCGCGTCGTTCGATTTACAGGCCTGAGCCACCGGCATCGATTCTACGTAGATCACGCACCGAGCCAACAAAAAAGATTACAAAAATGTTGTCCATGTTTGTGACAGTATGTGGCATGTGTTGACTGACGTATTTCTATATTAATATATATACATATCTACGACGTACCCGCGGTTTTTCTTTTGCTGTCGGTGTAGAGCTTGCTCTGGGCGTCGATGTCCTCGCTCCACTGGCGCATCTCGTCGACGTCCTTGGCATAGAAGATCACCGTCACCCCCTCCTTCGATCGGATCAGCACCTGCAGATGGAAGTCCGCCAGCGCACTCGCACCGGGCGAAGTATCTCTGTTCCCAGGTTTCAGCAATTTCTCATTAGCTCTGGCCGTGTGTGTTGTGCGTGTGCGTGTGCGTCTGCGGTGAGACATGCTGCCGTTACCCGACGTTGATGATTGTAGGGATGGAGACCGGCCCGACGGAGCGCACGGTGGCTTCGAACAGGCTGATCATGGCCAGGAAGGTGAGCTGCTCGCCGCGCTCGCCGGCGGCCTCAGCCAGCAGCAGCGCGTCGTTGAACAGGACCACGAGGCACGGGACCTGCTGTCCGCGTATCGTCTTTCGCACCGTCCCCTCCTTCACAATGATACGACTCGGCTTGACCAGGCTCGCCAACTGTGACCAATGTTCATCAATTAGCCAAAGCACTTTGTGTCGTGTCGTGTCGTTGGTCGTGTCGTGTCGTGTCGTGTCGTTGGTCGTGTCGTTGGTCGTGTCGTTGGTCGTGTCGTGTCGTGTCGTATGAGTCATGGGCGTGCCTTGTCTTTCTTCTTGGCCAGTGCATCGCACTGTAGGTTGCAATGCAGCTGCCACAGCCGCTGGCGGTTCTCGAGTCGGCTCTTCGTGTCATTTACATACTGCGCGACTTCGGTGATCACCTTCTTGGCTTCCTGTAATCAATTGAAAGAAAAACAATGCTGAGCGCCAACAATACCTTACAGGCCGCGGGAAGAGGGAAGTGGGTCCAACATACATTAAGGTCGGCGAAGTCCACATGCGTGTCGTCCGTGTATTTGATCATCTCCCTCAGTAGCAGCTCATATCGAGGAATTCGTTGCACTGCAACAGTGTTAGGAACATGTCAAATATGAATTTCTTATTCTCTACATGTTGATCTACGTACCGGGCAGGATGAGCAGTTGCGACAGGTACCAGTCGCCTCGCACCTCTTCCGTGGGTCCTTTCCGCGACTGGAAGAAGGGCACAAACTTCTTGTTCTGTTGGAGGCCGCTCAGGAACTTGACGGTCGACTCGTAGTTGTTGACATAGGCCGTGTAGACTTTGAGGCAAGGCGCCTGTCGAGTTCGATCTGTTAACACACGACACTCACGACACACAACACGCGCTGATGGCACTACACACGCGACACAAGACACAGGGAAGAGGTGGTACGATGTTGAGGAGCACATCGCCCACTTTGGAGTTCTCGCTTTGCCAGTCGACAATCCGGGTCTGCAGCTGCATGAGGAGGTCCTCGTGGAGCTTGCAGATGATATTTACACCGGAGAAGCTCATCGTGAGCTCCTTGCCCGACACGTCCGGGTGTTCCTTCAGCAGCTGGGTCAGCGGGACCAGGTATTCCTGATACCACCGCCAAACCCACACAATGTTTACAGATATTTGACAAATGTTAAAGGTCAGTTTGTTGTTTTCTTCCATTATGATATATATTTCGTACAACTATATTGATTTACTGGTGTAGGTACTCAGCCAAACTGGAGAGGGGGGACGTACCGTGAGGAGGTATCGCAAGTTGTCGACGTAGGTACGCTCCGTGGAGTGGAGCTCCTCTGCAATCCTCTTGCGCGTGTTGTGCTTTTGTGCTGGAGGAAGAAAGGGAGTAGAGATTAGCAAGTCCACGTTCGTAGAAGAGGAGGAAGAGGAAGAAGAGGAACAAGAAAAGACCACACATGGGTCAAGTACCTTCAGGACCGCTGCGGGGGCTGGTCGAAGCTTCTGGTTTGATGTCGCCCGTGGAGGAACGTACTCCTCCCTCCATACTTCGGGGAGGCGAGACCCCGCCAACGTTGTCGTTGCTTTTGTTGTTGCCGGGGAGACGATGCTCACCCACGCTCGGACCCTCCATCTCGCCTCAAGACGGCGTTCGAGATCTGGTGTGAATACCAAATAAAACAGAAAATGGAAATAGAAATAGAAAAAACATCAAGTCTAAATAAGGATAGGCATGTACCAAGAAAGGCATATTGAATCTGGCAGTTTGTCAGCTGGTCGGGAGCCGAAGGCGTTAGCGAGCACACGACACGCACACAACTCGGAAGCAAACGAAGTCGGAGGAGCGAAAAGAAAGGTTGGATTGTTGAAAGAAGAGAACGCGCTCAAGCTGAATAGGTGTCGTTCTTGCCCGTGGCAACGAACAACCAATACTGGTCGTTCGGCAACACCAGAAACGTGTAGTCGTTCTCACCCCCTGGTGGCACGTCGCCAGCTCCATGTTCGTTCCTCCCCCTGCACACAGCACAGCACACATGACACACACACACACACACCACACCACACACACAGCACACAGCACACAGCACAACACAGGAGCAAGAAGGATTCAACAAATGGCTAAGACGGTAGATCGACCAGAGAGGGGTGTACCATGACAACGGAGCATCTTCGAATCCGGTCACCATCACCGCCGCCCAGGGAACAGTTTTGTTCGCCACCTGCACACGGTGAGTGCAGGGCATCAGATCCCGCAGTGCTTTCGGCGTGCGTGCGTGCGTGGACTAGTGGCTGTGTCGTCCGTACCAACTTTCGCGCCTTCGTGAGCAGGTCGTCGATGAACGCACACGGGATGAGGCCGCTCCACTGATAGTGCATGACCTTGGCGGCTCTGTGAAATCGGTCGAGCGACAGGAACGAGTAGGCCTGCTCCCTCGTCAACGATGATGCCAGTCCCCTGCAGACGGCCACAGGCCAGAGTCACGCACGCTGTGTGGTGAGCCGCGCGTGTCGACTGAAGACAGTATACAGTCAAGCCAAGCCGGAGAGCGCACCATGAAGCCTTGATGGCGAAGTGGCCGAGGTACTCGAACATATCGTGCAGGAAGGCGCGGGCCTCGTCGCTTCGTCTGCGACGGTTTGTTCTTCTTGCCCTTTGGACCCTGCAGCTGCATCTTCTTCATCACCTTCTCGATCTGGTCCATCTCCTTCCGCTTGCTGCCATCCTCGTCGTCGTCATCACCACTATCCTCGTCGTCGTCGTCAACTTCGATCTTGATCTGCATGACGTCGTCTTTATCGCCCATCTTTCCTTTCGCTTTCTCCTTTCCTTTCGCCGGCTTGGGCTTGGGCTTGTCGGCCGCCCGCGCCTCCGCAGCCGCACCGGCGGTGAAGAGGTCGGCGAGCAGGGCTTCGTCGATGATCGGCACGTTCATGTCCTTCAGCAGCCGGCTGGCCTCCTTGAATGCGAGCGGCTTGGACTTGACCGCTCGGGCAAACTCCATCTTCTTCGTCTTACCGCCTGCAGACCGTGACAGTTAGATTATTAATTAATTTCCTAATTTATTCTATATTATTGTTTGTTGTTTATTAATTTGTTAAAAATTATATGAATAATGGTGCTTGCGGGAGGGCACACGGTACCAACAGACCAGAAGGCCAGCAGTTCAACGTCGCTCAGTCGCCCGGAAAGACACCAACGCACCCTGAGATGGAAGAGCCATTGAGCTGTCGAACACACGGCACGCAAGCCGCGGTGCAATGGTAGCACGCACCTTTCATAGAATTTCATGCCCGGTACGAAGTTCGGCGCGCAGAGGTCGATGTGAATGTCTAAAGAAAGCAGGAAGCGTAAGGTCTTGTGAAGAGGCTGACATACAGCAGAAGAAGAAGAAGAAGAAGAAGTTGCATCAAAGCTGACGTACTGTAACGTTTTGTTGTCTTGAACACACTCTTCTTTCCCTCGAGGCCCAGCTGCTCGTAGGTCTCCTTGTCGACCGAGAGCACAAGGGTCGCCTTACCCTCGCCGCCTACCCGAGAAAGGGAGGAGAGATGGGTCAGCAAACCTTCGGTGGCCACCGAAGAGACACGGTCACTGGGCTTACCTAGCGGCACGATCGCGGCAACGTTGTGTCGGTCGATGCCCGTGCCCACACTGATCGCCGTGAACTGACCCGTCTTCATGTACCTGCCAATGTTGTTCAACAGCGCGATTGAGATTTTGTTTTCGTCAGTGACTGGCGGCAAGGAGAAGAAGGAGGGGCAGAGTGGTGCACACCTGGCGATGAAGTTGGGATGAAGAAGGTCCACCAACTGACACCGGAGCAGGTAGAAGAAGGGATCGTCGCCATCATCCGGTGCGGTGCCGGAGTGCTGACTGTCCCAGTAGCGCGCCTGTGCGCTCCCGGCGTTGAGCCCGGGCGCGAAGGCGGCGCTGATCTCGGTGAGCGTTGGCTTCTCCTGGCTCGCGTGGGGAACCACCACCGGACATACTACCTCAGCCTGCCCAAGAGATTAAATCGCGTAGATGAACATTAGAGATCTATGAATTGAATACAAAGGGCAGTCTGGCAGCGAGCGCAGATGAACGCGAAAGAAGAATGAGCAAGAGGATTTAGGAGGGCGGAAGATCCGCAAGATCGAATTCGAACCTTGTAGTTGAACCAATGCGTGTGCACGGTCTGGATGTGTGTTGATCGCGGATGCGCGAAGCTGGACCGCCACACAGTCAGCCGCGGCCCCTTCATCCGTGGCAATCCGAACGCCTCCATCTTCTGATGTTTGTATTTTTATTTTAGTGCTTTATTCACTATGGAGGAGAAGTAATTTCCGTGAGTTGAGTTTAATAGGGCTTTATTATTCGTCGCCAAGCACAGGCCACCACGCGTTTTTCTCGGCCTCGAACTCCTCATACGATGGCAAGCGCACCTTGAGCTTTGGCTGGCGCGTGAACAGCTCCTCCACCACCCGCATCTGCTCGTCATAGAGCTCGTGGCGGAAGTGGAGGCATGCTGGCGCCGCACCACACCCACAAGCGTCGTACTTTTTTGAGAGTTTGGTGCACGTCGACCGTAGTTGGTTCAGCGTGCTCAGCTTGAACTTGATGTGCCATGGGTTCACGCACCGTGAGTGGATTTTGTTGCCCGTGCCTCCTATCAGGCGCCAGAAACATTCACACAGGTGTGATG